TGTTCAAGGGCAAGGATGTCAGTTTGAGAACTAAGGTATGCCTTACCCAAGTCATGGTATTTTCAATTGCTTCATATGCATGTGAAAGTTGGATAATAAATAAGGAAGACCATAGAAGAATTGAAGCATTTGAGTTATGGTGTTAGTAAAGAATATTAAAAGTATCATGGACTTCCAGAAGAACAAACAAATCTGTGTTGGAAGAAGTACAACCAGAATGCTCCTTAAGACCAAGATGGCCAGACTTTGTCCTCATACTTCAGACATGTTATCAGGTGGAACCAGTCCCTAGAGAAGGACATCATGTTTGGTTAAGTGGAGGGTCAGAGAAAAAGAGGGAGATCACCAATGAGATGGATTGGCACAATGGCAGGAGTGATGGGCTCAAGCGTAACAATGATTGTGAGGTTGGCATGGGACCAAGTAGTGTTTCATTGTGCTGTGTAAGAGGTCACTATGAGTCAGAATCAACCCAATGGCACCTAACAACAACAACAACAAATTAATAAATGTAACACAGCTGTTGTAACAGGTAAACTCAAAACCTCAGTAACTTCACAGAATAATGAGTAATTTCTGCCAAACAATAGTTCAATGCAGGTGGAATCACCCAGGAAGCTTCAAAAATACCTTGCCTGCCCCTACCCAGAAATTATCATTGTTCTGAGGCTGGATTGGGCATTGGGATTTTTAAGCTCCTCCAGTACTCTAAAGTGCAGCCAGGGTTGAGAGACACTAAATGAAGGAGTTTTGAAGATTTCTTCATCTAACTTTTCCCCATTCAGACCTCTGAGAAGTCTTTTGAGGGTCTGTCAGTTTTAGAAAACTTTCTTAGATTACTGACCAATACGATATCATACTGTTTCCAAAGAGGAGAGAGAGAGAGAGATGCTGCGGGGGGGAAGGAGGGGAGAATGAGAGGGATTAATTATTTCACTAAATTTATTAGGTGCTGTCCACTTGGTTCTGACTCATAGGGACTCTCTGTACAACAGAACCAAACGCCACCCAGCCCTGCTTCAGCTTCACAACCATTGCCATGTTTGAGGTCATTATTACAACCATTGTGTCAATCCCTCTTCTTGCGGGTCTTCCTCTTTTTCACTGATCCTCTGTTTTACCAAGCATGATGTCCTTTTCCAGAGACTGGTCCTTCTTGACAACATGTCCAAAGTACATGAAATGAAGTCATACTCATTTCTAGGGAGAATTCTGGCTATAATTCTTCCAAGACAGGTTTGTTTGTTCTTCTGGAAGTCCATGAAACAATTCAATATTCTTAGCCAACACCGTAATTCAAAGATATCAACTCTCCTTTGGTCTTCCTTATCCATTGTCCAGCTTTCACATGAATATGAGACGATTGAAAATGTCATGGTTTGAGTCAGGTGCACCTTAAACCTCAAAAGAACATCTTTGCTTTAAAAAAAAAAAAAAAAAAAAAAAACTTTTTCTTAAAAAATGAGTTAAGGTTTACAGAGTAGGTTATTAGTTTTACATACAGAAATTCATAAACATTTTGTTTCATCTCATAGACAACAATCCTTTCAATGTAACATCATTCATCCCATATCATACCTGTGGGTCCATTCCTCCTCCCTTCCAAACCCTTTTGAACTTTGTCCTTGGGTAAACGCTGCCCTTTTGACTTGAGTGGCTGACTATTCTAAGTTGTGCGTACCTCATTAGTATTATTGTTTACCTTATAGACCTGTCTATTGTTTAGTTGAAAATTGACTGAATATTGAAGGTGAGTTCAGTTCCAGACCTGAAGAGTGACATAAGTTTCCACTGTTTCTGTCTGACCAGTAAGCCTGGTCTCTTTTATGATTTAACTTTTATTCCACATTCTTCTCCCAGTCTATCCAGAATCTTCTAATGGATCACCCTCAGGGCAGTTGGTAGAGGTTGTCAGGTATCATCTAGTTCTTCTTGTCTCAGAGTCATGGTCCATTAAGCCATTGGACTAGTTGTTTCCAGGTATCTTCAATTTTCATCACTCTTCTTTCTTCCAGACAGGCAGAGACCAACAGTTGCACCTTAGCTGACTGCTCATGACTTTTTAAGACCTCAACTGCTACTCATAAAAGTAGGGTTATGTTGTCTCAGGGGACACCAACTGACCATGGTGTTCCCTGAGACTAGGGTCTTGAACCTCCAGGCCCAGTGACTCATTCCCTCAAGGTGTTTGGTTATGTCTAAGAAGTTTTCTTATCTTTGCCACCTGCATACTCCACCACATTCATGAATATATTTGAAGCAAAGGTAAATTTTTGTTCTTATTTTTGTGGCTGTTGTGCCATTGAGTCAGTTCTGACCCATAGCGGCACTGTACAAGGTTTCCAAGGCATGGCTGGTGAGCTTGAACCTTGCGGTTCAAACTAACCTTGCAGTCCAGCGCATTAACCCACAGTGCCACACCAGGACTCCCCACAAATATCCATATACAAATACATGTATCTGTTAAGCCTGTATATAGTTATGATTAGACTACCATTCTCTCTCCCCCATCCAATCAATCTACATGTCTGTCCATGCATCTACTCATTCACCACCAGTATTGCAAGACTTTGTTCATAACAGAATTGACCTCTGTTGCCTTTAACTCTTGCATTCCTCCCTGTGTCTTCCCCTGACTCCATCATTTTTTGCCAACATCTCTCTTCTTGTATATTGCCTTCTCCTTTACCCAAGTTAGCATGTGTCTCTGCAGGATAGGCGTCAAACCACAAGGTTGGTTTGAACCACAAGACCAGAGGTTCAAACTCACCAGCCATTCCTCAGAAACCCTACACAGGGTTACTGAGTCTGAACCAACTCGATGGCACTCAACAACTTAACAGCAACAAAATCCTCTAGCCAGTGAATTAGCTCCCTACCCCCAATTGAAGAACTAATCACAATGGCAAAAAAATGGAAACAACCTAAATGCCCAAGAGTGGAAGAGTGAATAAACACACTTTGGTACACACACATAATGGAATACTAAACAGCTTTATAGAATAACAATGAATCTGTGAAACATACAACATGGATGAACCTGGAGGACATTGTGCACCATGAAAACAGTCTCTCACAAAAGGACAAAATATTGTATGAGACCGCTATTGTAAACAGTCAAGTAAAGGTTCTCATGCTAAAAGAAACACATTGCTTTTTATCCAAAAAGAGTCCTGGTGTGGTGCTACAGGATAAGCACTGGAATGCTAACCACAAGGTCAACTGTTCAACCCCACCAGCCACTCCTCAGAAACCTTATACAGGGTTGGTATGAGTCAGAATAGACTAGACAACTCTTAAAAACAAGTTTCTGTAATTGCATGAGTCTTCTACTATATGCCATTAGATCCACCCATTTATGATTGTCTTGTCCATTGCCCAGACCCTATCCTTGCTAGTACTGAGCCTGACACCATCCCATTGGGTCAATAGGTAGAGAACACCAGCTGTTATATATTTTATTCCTTAAACATTGTTTTAGGCAGTAGAGAACAGCAGTTAAAATTGTTAACTCTGGAGTCCTATAATCTAAATAAATAGGTGATGACCTTTCTGCTGTGTGACTTTGGATAAATGACTTAATCTCTTTGTCTCACTTTCCTCAACTATAAAATCACAGTAAATAATCATAGCTATTCCACTAGTTGGCAAATAGAATATTTTCAGAATATGTTGGTTATCACCACTCATTGTTTGTATTATTTTCTCAAGTGTTAGAGGCTTTGGTGGTTCGCTAGAAACATTCTCAACTTCTATGAGGGAGATGGAACTGACTTGATGGCAGAACCAACCTGATGGCACTCAACAACAACAACATGAGGGAGAGCAGAGTTTGATTCCCAAACAATACATCTCTTGCATAACCAACACCCATGTGTCAATTGAGGCTTGAGTGTTGCTATGTTGATTAACAAGTTTATGCAGAACTTCCAGACTAAAACAGACTAGGAAGAGAGGCCTGGTGATCTGCTTCTGAATATTAGTCAGTATAAACCCTATGGATCACAATAGTCCAATCCACAACTGAACATGGGGAAGACATTTTGTTTTCTTCTGTTGTGCGTTGAGACACCATGAGTTGGGGCAACCAGTGGCAGTGAACCAGAGAAACAGCCTCTGGCCTGTGCTGTACAAAGAAGAGGAAGGCTATGTCCTTGTCCTGGGAGAATTCACACTTTAGCATGGGAGACCCACAGAGACAAGATGGACTATGACAGATGTGGCAGGCACAGTGTACAAACACAGGGAGTGTCCCCATGATGGCAGGGAGGCATCGGCAGAGGAAGACTTCTCTGAAAAGGTGATTTCATACCCTGGGCCTTGGAGGATAAGACCACACTGACAGGCTCAGACACTTGCTACTGAAATGTCATGGAAAAGAGAAAGAATGAATCTACAACTCAACCACAGGCATCTGCAAAGAGGTATTTCTTTGCGATAGAGGGCTGTCAACTGTCCTGGGTGAACCTCACCCCCGAGTCAGGGACTCAGGCTTTCTCTCGGAGCCTAGACTTGTGCCTGATGACAGAAGCTCCCCCAATCACTGACTGCCAGCATGTGTGGCCTTCTGCATTTAGGCAGAACAGCCAGGACATTGTCTACAGCCTGGTGGTGTCAAAGTTAACCAAGCTGCTGGTCCAGGAGCAGGCAGGACTAGAGGGGATGGGCAGAGCTGCCGGGAAGCAGGGTCTGTTATAGGAACTCCACAGAGCACCAGTCGTAGGTCGTGGTTCTGTCCCAACCCCTTCAGGATATCCTGTCATTCGCAGGATGCCTAGATACACTGTGCAGTAACCCGTTTCACCAAGACCCCTGGATTTGGCCGTTTTTCCTATCTACAGGCAGGTCTCACATATCTGCTGGCTCAAGACAGAAAAAGGAGGGAAAGGATTTAAATGCAAACATTGCAATGAGAAAGAATTTACTGGGAGTTCACGAAACTACTTTAAAATAGTTCTGACAGGTACCTGGCTCAGTGAAGGAGTAAATAGTTTTACACCATGTTCCAGCACTTAATGATTGTGTCTGTTGGGTTCATAATACAAAATCTCTGCTTCCTGACTGAAACTACAGGACAGGTAAGATAACACTTTTTTATAAATATATGTATATAAATACATACATATTTTTTAATTTGTAAATGTTTATAATGTTTGAAAGCTTTTGTTTGCTTGTGTGGTCACGGGCACTATCTGGACTTCATAAGATAGAACAAAGGGTAATGCACCATTTTTCTGAAGGTGTGCTGATCCAGTTAGTTCTATACTTGTGCTGTGGTTGTTTCATGTCATTGAGTCGGTTCCGACTCATACTGACCCTGTATAGGGTTTCCAAGGAGCAGCTGGTGAGCTTGAACCACCAACATTGCGGTTCAAACCAACCTTGCAGTCCAGCACCACACCAGGATTCTTCTGCTAGAACAGCCTTATCAGGATTTCTAAATTTAATGAAACATCCCTCTTTCCAGAGTAGATTTTGGTATCCTGGGTTTTGTTTGTTTTAATAGCCTTATCACTGTGAATACCTCCCATTCTATATGCCTAACATAGAAAATGACTATGGTTATAAAGTGGTACCCCTGCATGGTGCAAGCAGTTTGCACTCTGCTTTTAACCAGAGTACAGTTATCAGAAAGGACCAGTCCCTGGAGAAGGACATCATGCTAGGTAAAATGGAAGACCAGTGAAAAAGAGGAAGACTCCCCAACAAGATGAATTGGCACAGTGGCAGCAGTAATGCACTCAAGTTTGATAAGGATTTTTACGGCTGGTGCAGGACCGGACACTGTTGTGTTCTGTTGTGCATCAGGTTGCTATGAGTCGGAACCAACTCAACAGCACACCTAACAACAATTAACCTAAGGGTTGTAGGTTTGAACCCACCCAGTGGCACCAATGAAGAAAGCCTGGTGACATGCTTCTGTACGGGGTAGTCTTTACACACAGGGTGGTCGTAACTCAATGGCAATGGATTTGGTTTGGTTTTGTTCTTTTGAGAAAGATGTTCAGGAAGAATTCCAGGGTGGGTGATATCTAGCTTAGGAACATGAGTATCCGAGATATTTATAAAATGCTATTGTTGTTGTTAAGTACCGTGGAGTCGGTTCCCAACTCATAGTGACCCTGTACAGTGTTTCCAAGGCTGTAAATCTTTATGGGAGCAGAACACCTCATCTTTCTCCCGCAGAACCGCTGGTAGTTTTGAACTGCCGACCTTCAGGTTAGCAGCCTGATTCGTAACCACTACGCTACCAGAGCTCCTTTATAAAATGTACTGGGCGTTTATCCCTTCTACCTTCCACCAGTTGACTTAGTAGAACTCACAGGCTGTCTTATCAGGACTCGCAGGCAGGCTCCCACGAAATGTCATCACAAAGCAGGACTGAGCAAGCCTCAGTTCTGTAGGGAGACCAACCTGAATGAGGGATGAGAGCTACTCCAGCGTGGTTTCTTTAAATGCATTCCCCAAGATAGGATTTCTGCTCTATTCATAATAGAACTTAAACTTGCTTCTGCAACTACACCATGCAGCAGTTTTTCAACACCACTTTCACTCCAGTTGGCTGTACTCCGATCAGACTTCGCACAAAAACATTGGAAGATGGCAGAACAGTTAAGCTGGGTTTCTGCAGTTAGACAGGAGTGAGTATGAATGGTGACTTTCATTTGGTCATTTAATAGTATTTTCTGAGGACCATCCCTAAGCTCCTTAATTTACTAGCTGTTCAGGCCTGAGCGAGCTGCTCAATCAATGTCTCTAAGCATCAGTGTCTCACATGATGTTGTTAGAGGACAGAGTGGAGCAGCCCCATTGGGTTTCTTAAGCTGTAATCTTTATGGGAGCAAATCACCAAGCCTTTTCTCCCACATGGCCCCTGTTGGGTTCATTCCCCTGTCCTCTCAGTTAGCAGCCAAACACTTAACCGGGGCTCCTTCCTCACCTGAGGATGCTCTGTGGGTGGTGGTGGTAGTTAAGTAAGTCAGTTCTGACTCATAGCAACTGGTGTAGTGTTTTGGAGACTGTAAATACGGGAGCAGAAAGTGTCATCTTTCTCCTGCAGAACAACTAGTAGATTCGAACAGCTGACCTTATGGTTAGCAGCCCAGCTCGTTATCCACTACGCTACCAGGGCTCCTGTTATGAGTGGTAGTCATCAGTACTATCCTCAGAGAGTCCTTGTTTTAATGTGGAAGACAGGCCATGACCATTGTTTAAAACTGAGGTTCCTTTCCAGAGGGAATAAACTTGTAAGTACTGTAGGTGAGGCAGAATGAGTCATTTCATATGAAAATAAACAATTTGAAGGTCAAGGGATTTCTTAAAAGAGTATTAATCTGATCTACTAAGAAAAATAAGGCAGATATTGAACTTGAGTTGGAAGAGGCGAGTCAGTCTCAAAATGGAGGGTCAAGATCCTAAGAAACAAGAACAGCTGTGAAACTATTTATTGGTGGTCTGAGCTTTGAAACTACAGATGATAGTTTAAGAGAACATTTCGAAAAGTGAGGCATACTCACAGACTGTGTGGTGATTGGTGATGAGAGATCCCCAGACAAAATGTTCCAGGGGCTTTGGTTTTGTGATTTACTCTTGTGTCAAAGAGGTGTATGCAGCAATGTGTGCCTGACCACACAAGGTTGACGGGCATGTAGTGGAACCAAAGAGAGCAGTTTCTAGAAAGAATTCTGGAAAGCCTGGCGCCCACCTAACAATGAAGAAAAATTCTGTTGGTGCATTAAAGAAGACACAGAAGAATATAACTTGCGAGGCTATTTTGAAAAGTATGGCAAGACTGAAACCATAGAAGTCATTGGACACTGGCAGAGTGGAGAAAAAGAGGATTTGCTTTTGTAACTTTTGATGATCATGATGTGGTTGTTAAGTGCCGTAGATTTCTTTTAAGAAATCCCTTGACCTTCAAATTCTGACCTATAGCAACCCTGTATAGGGTTTCCAAGGAGCAGCTGGTGAGTTGAACCGCTGACTTTCCAATTCAAATGGCTTTGCAGTCTGACACATTAACCCAGATACAGTTGATAAAATTGTTGTTCAGCAATACTACACTACTGATGGGCACAATTGTGAAGTGAAAAAAGCCCCTTCTGCTCAAAAGATGCAGTCTGCTGGATCACAAAGCGGTCATGGAGGTGGATCTGGCAACTTCATGGGTCATGGAGGAAACTTTGGCCACGGTGGAAACTTTGGTGGAACAGGAGACTATGGTGGTGGAGGTGGTGGCAGCAGAGGTAGTTGCGGTGGAGATGATGGTACATAGAATGGATTTGGAGGTGATGGTGGCAACTATGGACATGGTCCTGGTTATAGTAGTAGAGGGGGCTATGGAGGTGGTGGACCAGGATATGGACACCAAAGTGGTGGAGGATATGACGGTTACAATAAAGGAGGAAATTTTGGTGGTGGTAACTATGGCGATCCCCCATAAAGATGGACTGGCAAAGTGGCAGCATCAATGGGCTCAAGTGTGGCATTGGTCCAGGACTGGGCAGTGTTTCATTCTGCTGTGCATAAGGTCGCTATGAGTTGGTACTGACTCGATGGCACCTAACAACAACAACAACTATGGTAGTGGTGGGACCTATAATGATTTGGAAATTATGATGGACAATAGCAATCAAATTATGGCCCCATGAAAGGGGGCAGTTTTGGTGGAAGAAACTCGGGCACTTCTTATGGTGGTGGTTATGGATCTGGTGATGGAAGTGCTGGCTATGGTAGCAGAAGGTTCTAAAAATTCAGGAGCACAGGAGAGTTGTCAGGAAAGTTGCAGGTTACTGCAGCATCATCCCAAATGCGTTGTTGTTGTTGTTGTTGTTGTTGTTGTTAAGGGCCGTTGAGTCGATTCCAACCCATAGTGACCCTGTATAGGGTTTCCAAGGAGCAGCTGGTGAGCTTGAACCACCGACCTTGCAGTTCAGACAACTTTGCAGTCTGACACATTATTAGCCCACAGCACCACATCAGGACTCCCTCAAATGCATTAGAGGAACTGTAAAATCTGCCACTGAAGGAACAATGATCCACAGCCAGAAAAGCTACTGCAGCTTCAACAGGATGCCCTTTGTGTTCAGGACTGTCAGAGCCACAGTTTGCAAAAAGTGTAGCTATTGATTAATACAATGTAGTGTCAATTCGGTATACATTCCTGAGGTCTTTTATCTCTTGTAGCTTTGTTGTTTTCTTTTTCTTTGCATTACATCAGATTTATTGCCCTGTAAACTCTGGTAGTGGTCCCAGGAATGAAAAATAAGAAATTTTTAACTTTAGAAAAAGAAAGATAAAGCACACTAATGTCACTGCATGTAAGAGGGGGCATCAAAAAGCCCCCTTACCTTTTAATTTCCAGTTTTCCATAAACTTTTTGAAGCCCCCTCATATTTATCTAGTGGAAACCTGCAATGTTAAGAAAAGTTGACTTTAAAAGAATGAATATGTTGTGGTGTCACCATGGAAGTTAAAAGGGGTTCATTCAAATTGCATTTGTGGTTGTTTTTAAGTGTCTTCAAGTTGGTTCCAATGCATAGTGACCCTGTAGATGGTTTCCAAGGAGAGATGGGTGGGCTTGAACTGCCAACTTTGTGGTTAGGAGTCCAGTGCTTATCCTACAGCACCACACAGACTCCAGGTTGTATTTAAGGGTGACTTTATTATTATTCCACGAAGAAAAATTATTATTAAATAATATTGTTATTCCATAAAGACCAGTGTTCATCATGATCATCTTGGCTTTGTTCACCATGGTTTTGCTTTTCTACAGGTTACTGTTGTGGAGTGACCCTGGTGTGATACTGTAAGATAAACACTGAACTGTTAACCACAAGGTTAGCAGTTCATATCCATCAGCTGCTTTTGGAAACCCTATACAGGGTCACTCTGAGTTGGAAGCAACTCAGTACACAACAACATAGGCTATTGGGATACATGGCAGAGAAAAGTGCTAATCAAGGAATAAGGAGAACATTAACTTAGAGTATGACCTTGGGCAAGTCACTGACTCCTCCTTGCCTCAATTTTCTTCCCCCTAAAATGAGGATAATGCTACCTGCCTTGCTTATCTTTAGAGTTGTTGTTAAGTGCCATTGAGTCAGTTCCAACTCATAGTGACCCTGTATAGGGTTTCCAAGGAGTGACTGTTGAGTTTAAACCACCAACCTTGTGATTCAAACCAACCCAAACACAGTGAGATTGAACCATTTTGATCCATAGGGTTTTCATTGGCTGATTTGGGGGAAGTAGATTTCCCGGTCTTTCTTCCTAGTCCTTCTTAGTCTAGAAGTTCTTCTGAAAACTGTTCAGTATCAACATACAAGTAATAACATACAAGCCTTCACTGACAGATGTGCACTGGCCAGAATCAAACTGGGGTCCTCCACATGGAAGATGAGATTCTACCACTGAACCACCACTGTCCCTAGAGTTGCCATGTTGTTGTTGTTGTTTTTAAGTGCTATTGAATCAGTTCCAACTCATAGTGACCCTGTATAGGGTTTCCGAGAAGTGACTGGTGAATTTGAACTACTGACCTTGTGATTCAAATGACCTTACGGTCCAGTACTTATCCTACAGCACCACACCAGGACTCCAGAGTTGTCATATGACCCAGCAATTCCACGCGTAGGTATATGCCCAACAGCAATGAAAATATATGAGGAGGCTTCAAAAAGTTTATTGAAAGATGGAATAAAAAATAGTGGAATTTTCCTACAAACTTTTGGAAGCTTCCTTGTATGTCTACACAAAAATTTGTACATAAATGTTCCTAGCAGTAGTATGAATAATAGAAAAATGTAAACAACGCAAATGCTCATGAACAGATGAATGGATCAACACAACATAGCATATCTGTACAGTAGAATATTATTTGGCAGTAGAAAGGAATAAAATACTGATGCATGCTACAACATGAATGAACATGAATGGCATCATGCTAAGTGAAAGAAAACAGTCATAAAAGGTCAGGCATTATATGATTCCATCTATATGAAATGCACATATGTGTAGTGACCATAAAGCGGAGAGGGAGACATAGGGAAGAACTGCTAGTGGGTACAGGGCTTCTCTTTATGGTGATAAAATATTCTGGAGTTAGATGGTGGTGATGGTTACATAGCTCTCTGACTATACTAAAAAATTTTGCACCTTAAAAGGATCCATTTCATGATCCACAAGTTATCACTCAGTAAAATTGTTCTTTTTAAGGGTAAAAAGAGGTTGTTTGTTGTTGTTGGTAAGTGTCATCAAGTCAATTCCGACCCATAGCGATCCTGTATAGGGTTTCCAAGGAGCAGCTGGTGAGCTTGAACTGCTGACTTTGCAGTTCAAACGGCTTTGCAGTCTGGCGCATTAACCCACAGTGCCACACAGTAATGCCTTTGAAATGTGCATAACCATAAATTGTTCTCTAAATGCAAAGTTATCTTCTCTGCAGAGCACATTACGTATTTCACTGAACTCAGAAGTAGTTATGATAGCCTGCATCACACCTGTGCCAGGCTGCGGGTGTAGGGTAAGCTGGGATACTTTAGAGTAACAATGAAATGTGAAATGCAGTTTTTAAATAGGAGAAAAGACTTTTAAAAAAAAAAAAAAAAGTGCTCCATTGCGCCAAACCTAAAAGCAGTAGAAATTGAGGAAAGGAAGAGACATGAGTGTGGTTTTGTGGAAGGGGTAAAGTTAAACAGGGTCTTAGACAACATGTGTCTGAGTAGTAAAGAGGAAGGAAGAGAACTTTTGTTTCAGGAGAGGCAACAAAAACCCACAAAGGTGGGGATGAAGCAGTCTTACAGGAGCTTGCATTTGTGACCTATGTATGATATTCCAGATGCTGTGCCAGGCAAAATGCATGTGTGACATCAGTTAAAGCCCTTAATAAACTTCAGGGGAAAGGAAAACTCCATTCCAACTCCTGGCAAACCGGTGTGTTACAGAGTAGAAGTGAGTCCCTACCATTTTCTAGGCTGCAAACTTTACGGAAAAAAGAACACCAGGGTTTGAACTGTCAACTTTTCAATTAGCTGACTAATACAAACCATTTGTGCTACCCAGGGACCTTTATGACCTGGAAGATACGTATTAATATTCCCCCATTATGGATGATGTCAAATGGAATCCATTCAAAATCATAAAGTAAGCAAGTTTGGAAACAGCAGGATGCAGAGCTTACTCGAAATTTACAAGTCTTTTGACCTCTAATTTCAGTCTCATTTCATCTCAATCTTGATGAAGAAAGGAAGAAAACTTGAGAAAGGGGAGGAAATCTATTTGGGGAAGTCAGTCCCAGGATCAGGAGCAAAGCCCCAAAAGCAAGGACTGAAACAGGAGCTGAGCCATTCGTTTTAGTCATTCTGCTGCCTTATGTTGCTAGTTAACTGTTTCTAGTGTTTCTAACTTAAAAAATAGGAAACCAAACCCATTGCCACTGAGTCGATTGTGACTCAGAACAATGCTATAGGACAGAGTCCAACTGCCCCCCACAGGGTTTCCAAGGTATTCATTCTTTACAGAAGCTGACGGCCACTTTCTCCAGAAAACAGCTAGTGGGTTTGAACTACCGACATATTGGTTAGCTGACAAGCACTTAACCACTGTGCCACTAGGGCTCCTGTGTATTTGATGTTGTTGTTAAGTGCCATCGAGTCAGTTCTAACTCATAGCAACCCTGTATATAGTTTCCAAGTACTGGCCAGTGGGTTTGAACCTTGCAGTTAGCAGTTCAGTGCTCATCCTATGGCATAACACCAACGTCCCATAATGCATTCATTCAATTAATAAATTTCTGATCACTACAACCTCCCAACATTGTTTAGTTTACAGCAGTGGACAAAAGAGAAAAATATTCTTACCTTTGTGGAACTACATTCTAGATAGATTAGAACCTACAGATTGCAAACATCCTTGAAGCAGGAATTGTATCCTCCATAGCATTTAGTTCGATGCTGGTCCCAGAGTAGATATTCCTGTGGAAATCAATGATGAAGGAATAACCTTGAGACTAATTGATTTATGAGCTGTTAACCTTGGTGTGGTACGTCAGATAAGCACTGGACTGCAGTTCAATCCCACCAGCCACTCCTTGGAAATGCTGTACACAACAACGGCCTTGAATAAAGATCCCTAGATGACGTAAAATGGTTTGCACTAAGCTGGTCACCAGAACTCACCCAGCAGCACCTCATAAGTATAAGGTCTAAGGATTTGCTTCAGTAAGGATTGTTGTTGTTGTTGTTAAGTACCGTGGAGTCGGTTCCGACTCATAGTGACCCCGCAAAGGGTTTCCGAGGCTGTAAATCTTTACGGAAGCAGAAAGCCTCATCTTTCTGCCGCGGAACAGCTGGTAGTTTTGAACTGCCAACCTTGAAGTTAGAAGCCCGATTCGTAACCACTACGCTACGGTAAAGATCAAGAAACTCTTACAGGGCACTTCTATTCTGTAATACACGGAGTTGCCGTGAGTCAGAATCAACTCGATGGTACAAAGCAATATCTTTGAATAACCTGCTTTACTTTCTCATTTCAAAAGTATAGTCTGCAATATATTTCAGTTTCCCATTTGGATAAGTGTATATAATGACATGACTTTACCTTCTTGATTTCCAGACTCTTAATCAGGAATGCTAAGTGTGTAGGCCACTGTGCCCCTTCCCTCATTCATAGCCATGGCAGACATCACTTGTGGATCCCAGCATTCTTTCCAGATGAGATTGAAAGCCACAGAGCAGTCAATATCAATCAACCTCTGTGCCATCCCTGCCATCCAACTGAAATGAAGCCAGTAGAGAAGACTGGCCAACCAAACAGTGTTTGAAGGCTCTGGTAATGGGAACTGAAGTTCTTATGTCTACACAGGCAAAAAGATGCGATAGGAAGTCTCTTCTGACCATTAGAACCGAGTGTCGTTCCTGTTCACTCAACTTTGGAATCGAATGTCCAGATGGTTACACCAAGGTTACCAATGGCTCTGTAGGAGTTCGAGATTGCAGGTATTGGTTATGAGGACATAAGTATGCTTGAGTGCGGGGGAACTCAAGGGATTGTGAATTTTAATGACTACTTATTTCAAAATCTACAAAGCATTTCCATGACTTTTCTAAGACTGCACTGAGCCCAAACTTAGTTAAATCACATTGGATAACCTTGAGTCTAAAATCTATGTTATTATTGATTCATAGTCCAATACACATAAGCATTCTCCCGTCTCCTTATACTTCTTGTTTTGTTGCATTTGGAAAGAGCTTTGGGTCTTATAATCAGGACACAACTAGCTATGGACTCTGATACAAATAACCCCGAGAAAGGGAACAAGAGGACTACAACACGGCTGCCTGTTACATGAGTGTTGCATTCCTGAAGACCTCTGATGATTCAAAACTCTCATAAATCAAGACAAATCTTACAAAAGCAGGCAGGCAGCTCTGCTCACCAGCTAAAGCCTGCAGCCATAAAGCTGCACTGCAGATACAGTTGTTGGTTTTTTATTTTGCTTTGTTTTCTTTCTTCCATTCACAAGTTTTGAAATTAGACAATGCTTGAGTTTCTTTTTATTTCAGAGATGAATTAGTGATTTTTGAATTTTTGCATAAAATGAGACCTTAACACTGTCATATCACATTATTTTTAAAAAACCACATTCACTTAATGTCCCTACATGGTATTCTAAACACAGACCTTATTTCTAATAGAAGCTTCCCAACATTAACTAGCCAAGAGTTTGTAAGCATAGGAGCCAATTGATCAATATAGTTGCCATGAAGGACTTATTTTTGCAATCAGTTTCTAAGAATTTACATCAGAAAGATCTAGGCAGGATTCAAAGTTAAAATTGTAAGGTTACTTTCCTGAGAACTATTTTGTTCTGGTTAATTTTTTTATGCATAGCCAAAGGAGTACTTGGTTATATCCCACTCACCCCCACCACACACACTCACACACAGAGGACAAAACTAAAATCATTACACCCAGATTCTGTGTTTTAGAATTGAAACCTTTGATCTCTCATTCATTTATGCTGAAACTGATCCAATTAGATTCTTTTTTTAGATTCTTTTTTTTTTTTTTTTTTCTACTCTTTATTCACCTTCTGGATTCACAACCATGCCTAAGAATATTTTTTCTCATTATTTTTGTTAGTTAAATAAACTAGTTTAAGAAAGCAAAGTAGAAGGATACTTAATAATAATTAACATTTTTAGCCTCTCTATGTCATTTTACATGCATCACATCCTAGCCTATTTGTTTTTGCATAATCTACACAGGATTTCCTTTTCATAATATTAATTGACTCATGTACATCATTAATAAAATTGGTAAGTGAACAAGCCCAACAATAGTACTCCCTTGTAATGACACAGAGATCATATCAAATTTAATTCTTCAAGGGTTATTGATTTGGAATTAAGCTATAGCTTTTTAGCAATGAGAATCTTTAATATCTATTTCAAGGAATATATTTTAAAATATTTTAATATATATTTCATTGAAATATATATTTCAATGCACCAGACTGCAAAGCCATTTGAACTGCAAGGTTGATGGTTCAAGCTCACCAGTCACTCCTCAGAAACCTTATCCAGGGTCACTATGGGTCGGAACCAATTCAATGGCACTTAACAACAACATAAAAATGTTGGAATTCTAGTGTAGTACTGTAGGATGGACCACAATGTCAGTTTGAACCCCAAGGTTGGTGGTTCTAACTCAGCCTCTCCTGGGAAACCCTCTAAGGGATTGTTATGAGTCAGAAGCTACTCAATGGCACTAAGAACAACAAAAATAGAGAAACTTTACCTAAAGACAATATCTGAAGAAAATACATTTGTGTCCAGAGACAGACATTACAGAAGCATTGCTATCAATGGATGAGTGAGAAAAAATGAAATTACATTGTTACATATAGTAGTAAATGAAGAACTAGGAAGTGGTGGGACTGACACAATTTTGGCTTGGCCAATCTGTTAACTACCACTCGTCTGTCAGTTTCTCATGCTGTTGGTGGTCCAAGTTTGATTCTTGAGGGGACACTTGGCTCTGTCCTTGGACTCTCTCTTTACTTGCCTTTATGAAGAGATGCCTCTACCAGAATTCTCAAGCTTTCAAAGCAAATGTTAACCAGATCTCCAGCTTGGCTGCCCACAAAACACGTGGCTCTGTCATTATCAGCTGCATGTGATAGTCTGGTTTAGGAGTACAAACTTGAAAACAGCACCCACTGTTCTTATAAAATACCCAGTTGAAATAAATTATATTCCTGGAGTATTGTTTCTAGATACCCAAAAGTTTAACCCTAGAGTCAGCCTTCACTGTTGAATATATAGACAGTGACATTTAACCTCCATAGAGCTGGGATTCCAGAACTCTACGTATCTCTGTTGGTACAAGACACTATTTGAAGGAACTTGCTATGTCTCCGACAAGAATATGGTGGCAGATGTAGCTTACTCCATCCCCCCATCACATGCAAACCTCGAAGTCTATATTGCATGTGATCCTTATGCTAATTCCTAATATTAGTGTGTTTTCATTCCACAGACATTGTGCGTCATGTAGCTCATGATCTTTCCCTTCTTGTATTTAGTGACACATTTGAGTCCCACCTCTAGTAACTGTTCATTTATTTTATCTACTAACTTTACCTCTGATATCAGAGTAGATATTCCATCATGCCCCAAGTTTTAATCTGTTTCTTATGATTAAAAATAACTCATGAGTAAGATTTTTTTTCTACTCAAAGCCACTGCCATTGCAATGCTTTTAACTCATAGAGACCCTCTATAGGATTTCTGAGATTACCACTCTTAATGGGAGTGGACAGTCTCATCTTTCTCTCATAACTTCGTGGTTACCACTCCTGATGCTTAGTTAACATTACCACCAGAATATGTCCAAAGTTACATATATATAGTTAATCAGGTAAGCTGCCTTAGAAACTTGGTGGGATGGTGTGGCATGGGAAAGAAGAGTCAGGGAGGCCTGAAAGGGAACACTGTCACTTCCCAGATCCGGAGAGATACAGCATGCCATGTCCCAGGGTCACACATGTTGCCATAGTAGGAGAGAATTAGGTAGGGCACGCAGGGCAGGGCTACCTAGGATGTGCAAACTTCCTGGAGATGGAGAACTTTTCATTATTCTATAGACTCAAAGGGCAGGGAGCTATCCCTAGTTGTGTGTCTGGTTAGGATGGGTTTCTAGTGGCCTAGAAGGGTGAGGTAAGGATGTTCAAAAAGCAGGAGTGAATAGCCTCCAGCTGGGGCTTCAAAATTGTGTCACGATAGCATATTAAGGAAATGGTATTGCATAACTGAAAAGATCGTATAAAAATCTAGGGCAACTCTATCACCTAGAATTAACTGCATTGCTTTAATTGTGGGTTCACTTCTCTTCACCCTCAAGGTATACATTCGAGGTCAGAACCTACTCACTCTCTCTCCCTGGATGCCGGCATATCTGTAGAAAGGATTACCTCCAGCCACAGTGTTGCCCAGGCCACTGGGGTCCAGACTGCATGGGTAAGTGGCAGACACTTGGACTTTGATATTTGCTTCCCTTGGTCCCATTTCACAGAAGATGGAGATGAAGGAATCCTGATCAAAGGAGAATTGGGTATCTTTATCTGGGAAGTTCCATTTCAATCTAGCTGCAGAAAATCTGTGTTGCCCAATCAGCTTTCATAAAGAAATCTGCTTTCATGCAGGTATAGATCTCTTTGCAAGAGAGTTCTTTTACAAGTCGGAGAAAGGGTTAACTAAAAGGATACCTTGTTTGTTTGTTTTTTTTTTAAAGATAGTTGATCAAAGAGAAGAAAAACACTAAGCCATGGTTTTCTTAAAGCAGAAATTGGATTTCAATTACAATCTTTAAGACTGTAGTTGTTATTTTACAGTTGTCTTAGTATCTAGTGCTGCTACCGTAGAAAGACAACAGTGATGGTTTTAACAAACAGGAGTTTATTCTCTCAAAGTTTAGGAGACTAGAAGTCCAGATTCAGGGCACCAGCTACAGCAGAAGCCGTTCTACCTGTGTAGATTCTAGGGGCAGGTCACTGTCATTGGTCCTCCCCTGGGTCGAGGAGTTTTGCAACAAAGGGCCCCTGGGTCCATATGATGCTCTTCTTTCTTGGGGGTAGTTAGAGCTCTCTGATCTCCACTTGCTTGTTTCATCTCTCTTATGCATCCAAAGAGATTAACTCAAGGTACAACCTAATCCTGTAAATTACATCCTGCCTCGTGAACATTGATGTTGTTGGTGTTGTTGAGTACCTTTATCAGTGACCTTGTATAGGGTTTCCAAGGAGCAGCTGGTGGGTTTGAGCCACCAACCTTTTAGTCATTATCTTGTGGCTAGCAGTCCAGTGCTTATTCTACAGTGCCATACCAGTATTCCTCATTAACATAACTGCCATTAATCTTGTCTCATTCAAACATCATAGAGGTTAGGATTTACAATACATAAAAAAATGACATCAGATCACAAAGTGGAGAATAATTACATAGTCCTGAGAATCGAGGCCTAGCCAAGTCTGTACATATTTGCTGGTGGATGGGGTGGTACACAATTTAATCCATAAAAGCAACCAAAATAATAACCAAATCTATGCAAAACTTAAGTCTTAAAATGGTATGTCAAACGATGATGTAGGACTTTAGACACCTCAGTGTGAAGATACTGTGTAACGTTAACTCATAGTCAAATGCACACATGTAAACATTTATTCTGACCAGGCTCCACTATAAGAACAGTTACCAGGAAAGTCTGAGTTAATGATGTATTTACACTTCTAGACTCACACTGAGCATTTGTTAAGTGAAATAGGATTTCTGTCCTAATTGTGGCTAACACTCAAGTAGTGACTGGCTCCCTGATACAGCATGAAAAAATTACATAAAGTCCACCTGATCCTTCTTCCTGCAGGCAAAACCGAGCACATTAACTCATGAGTGTATCCTTTGTCCTCATCTTCTAAGATGTAATGAAAGCATTTCCTTAGGGGGAGAGATGGGTTTTCTTTTTGTTTTGTTTTGTTTTGTTTTCTTTTCTGATTAAGGTAATATAAACAAATTTATATTTTGTTATACATTTATAAAGTTTACAAAGGTATACAGATTAATAAAATATAACTTGTATTTTGTCATATTGTCATGCACAGTTAAAAAAAAAAGATGTTGATGGATTTGAGAACCATTATTCTGCATTGCACAGGCATTTTTCAAGCTTTAAATTTTAGAATCAATCAATCAAAAATACAAAAGTTCAAGGAAATTTTTAACTTGGTCTTCAAAGAATGTATAGTTTCTGTGTTAGGTGGAAGAGAAAAAGCAATGTAACTACAGAAACATTGATTTTTTTGTTCTTCCAACAGTCCATAGAATTTACAATATTCTTCTCCAACACCATAACTCAAATGCCGACTCATAGTGACCCTATGCGCAACAGAATGGAATACTGCCCTGTCCTGTGACAACTTTGCAATCATTATATTTGAGTGCATTACTGCTGCCATTGTACAAATCCAACTTGCTGGAGACTCTTCTTTTTTTTTCTGACCCTCAACTTTATCCAATATGATATCCTTCTCCAGGGACTGGTCCCTTCTGATAATACATCTGATGTAAGATAGATGAAATCTGGATATCCTGGCTTCTAAGGAGCATTCTGGCTGC